AATTTCTCAGTGGTGGTCCAGGTTTTGTTCTGGTCATGGGCAACCGGTTGCCCATAGACAGCTGGCATGTGCAACCAGTGCCCCCCCCCGCCTGCATAAGCCCTGTGACTCAGAGGAGATGGTGCATCAATTCGTGTTGATGTTCTACTGTGTGTGCCTCTCCCTTGCTGGATTCCCTTGCAGTGTGCTGGGAAGTTCTCTGGAGCAGCTGACTTTTCATTTGCTGCATTGGAGAGCTACATCCCACAGAAACAGCCATCTATAGAAGCCTTGAGCACTATGTGGAGCACATATGGATGCATAAGCATCATCAGTCGTAGGGTCAAATACATCTGGCTAAAGTCACCCATGTAAGGTGCTGGTCTACATGAAAAAATCCAAAACCCATGCTTAGGCAGTACTTTATTGGGACCAACTAGTTATGTGCAGCAAGCTTTTGAGATCTCCAGATTTCTTCATCAGGCAGGATGTTACAAAAGGCAGGGGGTGGGGAAGGAGGAGCTGAAGAAAAGCTGGTGATGTGGATGCTATGAGACCTATGTGCTCTGAATCTTAAGATGGAATGCAGGACAGGGCCGTCTTAACAGCATTATGGGTCCTGGGCAAAGCAGTGTATTGGGGGCCCTACAACAACTACAACTACTGTTAATTTTGGAAGTTTTCCAATTTTCCAAGGGTTAACATACACAGAGTAGTATGGGGCCCACGGGCAAGTGCCCATCAGGCCCATGCGTTAAGATGGCCCTGATGCAGGAAGGATCACACATGGATTTGGCTTTGACGGGGTCATGGAGTTTTCGAGTCACTCCTTGTACTGTTAGAGCAAAACCCATAATGGCTGATTTCGTCCATTTTGAAAAATATAACACCTAATAGTTACTCAGATTTATCGCCAAGCCTGGTTGAAACACACAGGTTCCTTGGCAGGCAGAGAGTCCCCAGGCTTTGTTGTTTGAACTACTGGTATTGCGAATAGTCAGTTTTGGCTTCAGGGAATATTTTGTTATTCATTGTTTAATTTGAGCTAAGGTTCAGCTTCAAGCATGTGAAATTATAATCAAAGAGTCTCCATGAGCATGTGCCAAGTGTTCTCCCTCAATCATTGATTTATCATAAACTCAAAGGCTTCTAAATCTCCTGCATTTCTGTTTATACTCCATCCAGGATTAAAATATTAATAAAATCTCACAATTAATTTGACAAGGCTTGCCTGCAATCCTATGCATCCACACTTGAGCATAAGCAGTGTTGATCTCTGTTGCACTTAATTGATTGTATAGATTCAGTTTATAAAACTTACTGAGCTCTCACAAAAGTTCTTTAGCCAGCTGAAAGGCAACTTTTAACTTTTAATTAGAAATGCAAATTCTTGCAAAGTGCATTTAAAATATTAGCATTAAGTGGGATCCCCATCCAAGAAGATACCCAGTTTCTGCTTAATTATTTTCCTCGTTTTCTGACGTAATTCATGCTAATCTGTCAGAAAAAATAGTAATTCCAGAGAGCAATTTGTTGCCACCATATTGCATTGCCAAGCAAAGTAGTTACTCCAGCCTTCTACTCCGAAAATAGTTCCAGAGTTGCACTCCCCTGTGTTCCCCCTCCTTCACATCCACTCACAATAATCTGCACATGGAAGACTAGCATTTTGAGAAAAAAAGGTTCAACCTGGTTGCTGTCCCTGATGTGTGATGTACTAGATTTCCACAAGCAAGATTTTTCTTAATGTGCAATCTCTATGCATTCATACCACATGCTTTTCCTAACTAGACAGCTGAGAAATTCTGAATACCATACTGGGGCTAATTTGGATTAAGTGTGTTGACAAACCTGCCATAGATTGCTTCCACACTAACAGTTTAGTCTGGTATTGCCATCTTTCATTCACAGTGTTTTTACAGAGAATTGAGGAGCTCTTGTTGGAAGCCCACTATATTCTAGTGCATGGTGTGATGTCCTCTTCCTTTGGACCCAGTTTGTAACTATTTAAGACATTTGGAAGGCAGTCGCTTCTTCGACTTGTCCACTGTTGACTGGCAAAGTGCTACAGAAGCTACGCAGGTCTACTGTGCTATAGCTTCCTCATTCCAGATTTTGCCCATATGTTGTGTCTTGTGGAGCATAGCTGTGGTGTTGCTGCTGAGAAGCCTGCCAGTTAGCTCTTAAATAGCCTCTCTTAATGGCCCTGAAAAGACACTTCCAGTTGCCTAGTGGAGGGGAAGGAGCAGCCTTCACTTTTGGTTTCCTGCCATAGCAAAATAGTGCTATTGCCCCATTAAAAAAGAATATCAAGGGGGAAACAAGAGGGAGATAAATCCTGCCACATAAGCAGCAGCACCCTATGGGAAGCACAGCACTAACCAGTAACTAAGAAGCGTTTGTTTGGGGATCATGTTATTAGAGTTGCTTTATGTCCTACTTTACAGGGGACAATCCTCTGTTTGAAAGGCCATCAAGTTCCTGTCTGTTTTAGAGATGGAAAGGAAAGCAGCAGAAGGCTTGAAGTTGCCCACTGATTACTGTTTTCCCCACAATGGTGAGAATTATTGGGGGTCAATTTGCATCCTAGCCCTCATTAGCATCAGTATAGATCAATTAACAAATGCAAAGCAGTGTCCTCTTTTTGCTTTGGTGATGGATTTCCATGTGCATAAGCATACATGTGTAAGCAGCCATGCTGCCTGCTGGAAGCAATAAAAGCAGTTGAAGTTGCCAGGCTGAAGGTTGTAATGGATGTTGCATGACCTTTTCTATACATATAGCAGTGACCCAATTAAACATTACAAATGGATCTTGGCCACTGGGGTGAGCATGGCAGGATAACATAGTGTTATTTTAGGTACAATGTGAAACTTACTTTCATTCAACTTCCAGTTGTGGGCAGCAATGCAATCCCTCAGTAGTATTAACAGCACTAGAGTGGACATTGTTGTATCACTTTTCCTTTCTGTTTGTTCCTTTCTGTTAAGCATTACTTCCCACCACCACTGTACACCCACTAAGATTTGCATACATACACAAGCAGTCAATCACAAACCCAAACTGTTCAACATGCCATCATGTTCAGAAGACATGTTCCAAGCATCCTGTGATACTAAAAGATATGCCTTTTGTCTTCGGACAAAATTTTACTTAAATTTTCTGATTTTTTAAAAGAAATGTGCTTCATTTCATTTTCAGTACATAGGTCTGAAAAGGTAACTGGGATTACAGTATAAAACCACATCAAAAATATGTTAAGTACAAGTATAAAAAGGCAGTGTCAAAGTAGGGATGGTGTGTGAATTCTCAAAAGCATGTCTTTATCTGTTGCTGTGAGGCATTCTATAGTAACAAACATCAGTGTAAAGTAATTTCATCTGGTGCACTCTTCTGAGAGTATAAACAGTCCAGAACACAGCTGGTTCTCAGCATCCAGTTTATCAAAATCATACATTTAAAATAAAATGACCAGGACATTTTATTTTCAAAACCTCAGACTCATTTGGCTTAGGTGGAGGGAGAGGCAGAAGTGAGTACAGACAGCAGGCCATGACTTCTGGTAAAGTGTATGCTAATATGCTAACACACCAAACTGTATTCTCGTTTACTACGTTGTACTCAGCTGCAACATCAATAGGAAAACCTACAGCCAGGAAATACACCCACTCTGATACTGTATTATTTTATGCCTATATAAGTAGAGCTATGATACATATCACCATAGACCTTTAAGTTTGCCCATGGTGTTTTGTAAACATTAAAAATAATACAAAGCTGCATATAGGTTCTCAAGTCTAAAACATCATGTGCACTGTGATGCCCACAGAACTCTTGGGTGTACATAGAAGGCCTATTTAGGTCAGTGAAGGGAGCTAAACTCCCGTTCTACCCAAAGGAATGTAGACATGGATCTGCTGTCTCCACTGAAATGAATGGAGATAGTATTCGCACATAGCAAAAATGTATGTATGCACAGCACTTGCATGCCTGCACCTGTATGAAAATGCTGAACAAGAGTGTGAACATTTCAGCAGTGACCACCCCATGTTCCAAGTCAGTAGTTATACATTTATTAAAAGACTTATTTTTCCCAACTATGAAGTTTAGTTGCAATAATATTTATAAACAGGTTGATTCCCAAGCTGGGATAAAGGAAAGACGTGTGTCCCATTATGGCTTTATGCAGGCCTGTGCTTCTTCACACATTGCCCTTTTGGTACATACCTATGTTTTAAAATGTATATTTAAAAGTGTAGCGTGTGACCTTAACAAGCAAGGATTGGCTGGGACAGGAGATGGCTGCTGCGACTCCCTGTTCCATATAGACTTACTATCACCCTCAGGTTTGTTGCTCTGTATTGTGTGGATCCTGAAGATGAAACTCAAATACTTTGGCCACCTAATGAGAAGGAAGGACTCCCTGGAGAAGAGCCTTATGCTGGGAACAACAAATGGCAAAAGAAGAAGGGGACGGCAGAGGATGAGGTGGCTAGATGGAGTCACTGAAGCAGTTGGTGTGAGCTTGAGTGGACTCCAGGGGATGGTGGAGGACAGGAAGGCCTGGAGGAATGTGGTCCATGGGGTCGCGATGGGTCGGATACGACTTCGCGACTAACAACAACAACAACAACAACAACATTGTGTGAAACAGACATTAGCCATTCTGTGTACAATCCTATGCACATTTTACATTTTTCTTTAAAGCAGGGGTGGAGAAAACTCAGCTTTTGGAGCCAGACATACCCATATAGGTTTACATGAACATACCAATTTCTGTAATGTCCCTTGGAAGCAGAATTAACAAGTGCTCAGGATACAGAAGGTAGTATGAACCTGGTACACAAAACAGGCTGGATAAATAAGTTCAGCCTGAAGATTTTTTTTCACTGAAGTCACAATCCTGTGCATATTTTGACAGAAAAAGTCCATGATGGAATGCAGGGAACTGCAGGATTTCTTCCTGTCTAAACATGCATAGCATTGTGCCCCATGTGCTAAAGTTGAAGCACCTTTGAGAAGACTGTTTATAAAAGCAAAAGATGCACTTTACAGTGCAAAGTGTGGGTATTGCAGATTCAGTGTAGCCTTGAAATCAAAAGTATTTGTCCCAGAAAAGAGTGAAAAAAACAGCAAACCCCCAATGCCAACCATGAACTGTCTCTCACTTCTAAATAGGAGTTTCATTTAGAATGTGGGGGAATTGGGGGGAGGGAGGGAACTCATCTTTTGATTTTAAAAGTGGCCAAGGAGTGCTGAGGCAGGCAGGAAAATCATTAACCACATGCTCACTTCATCTATAGAAAATGTGCAATCCTGACTGCCATGTGTTACACCAAGACTTTTACAGTGCAATTCTATGCATGTCTTTTCAGAAATTAGTCCAAGTGGGACTTACTGCCACGTAAGCATGGTTGCCTTAATGCACTGGAAACAGCCTTATGTGGAAAACCAACACAGGATATCTTGCAGTGCCTATGTTGGTATCTACAAAAGTTGTCTTGTATTGCTTACCATCGTATTTCACTGGCCATTTATAGGATTAAAGCAGACAGCAGCATTTTTGCGTGGCGCTGGAGTTCCACAAGGACCGACTTCCACAAAACTGCCCTAATCCATCAACTCCTTCCTGTATCACTGGAGACGGCTCACATCTGGCATCCTTCTTGCTGTTTGGTTTTTTAAAGCATTTGTTGAAAGGCGGCCCCCTCTCTGTACATGGGGGAGTATAAACGGTGGCTTGAGATGCAATACTGGGTGCTACCAGTGCCTCTTCCCTTCAGACTTCTCTAGACTGTCTGAATGACTTACATTGGATCTCTTTTAGAACTAGGTTCATTTTGTGTTGGATTCGAGTCATGTGGTCCTGCCTGTTTGATTGACATGGCCTGGGTTTGGGTTTGACCAAAGTATCCCATGCATCCACAAGTTAATGGACACAAGCATGGCTACAACTGGGATTTTTGCAAGAATAGGATCAGTGATCAACACAACTGCAGCCATGCTACCTGTTGTGCTTGAACAGCACAATCTTGGATTCTTCAGACCACACTCAATTACCATGGTAAGCACACTCCAAGAAATCCATGTTGATGGTATCCATACTATTCTTCTTCTGTAGACTATAATTCAAACGATTTATACCCATAAGAGGATTCAACTGTGCTGAGACCACTGGAAAATGTTATGTGATTTTTAACCTATTCTAAATGTGGATTATTGCTATTGGTTAGTGCGTGTACTAAATTATGGTAGGAAATCAGAAAATGCTTATGGTGTAAAAAACTGTATTTTCAGAATAACACTATGAAACACTTAACACTAATTTCATCTTTCTAGTTATCAATCAAATTTGGGTATGAGTGTGCACAGTTAACTGCCTTGGGGTGGAGGGAGGGAAACAACTGCAAGCAAGAAAAGGTTTCTTCTACCTAGCTACAAAAGCACCTACGTAATATACTAAAATTTTGGATGACTTATTTCTGCAATAAAAACATCAATATTAATCATATAAAACTGTATTATGTGTGCATGCTACAAGAAGAGTTCATTTCTGGGACCCAGCCTTCTGAACGTGTTTTTTTACTGAATGCTGTCCTGCGATCATTTGTCTGTTTGCCTTATTTGGCTGCTGCTTGTGGAGCTCCAGTTGTAGGGCAACTTCTATACAGGAAGAGTTTTATTTAACCCATGTGCAAGCGGTGTTCCCCACGGGTTATGTGAGAGGAGAACTCGTACCTGTCCTGGCTGCGGTAGCCGCACATGTTACACTCGAAAGGGTCACGGAACCCATGGCAGCCCATGTGAATGGTGTGCATGACGTGATCTAAGTACAGGACTCTACAATGTTCACATTTGTAAACTTTCACTTGCTCTCCATTGCCATTGATTACTTTGAAGGCATCTTGGGAGCTGTCATTGCTTGCCCGCAGGACATCATATTGCCTGTGTTCTTCCTTTATCGAGAGGCCGTTCCGTGCATGGGGTGCTATGTGGTTTGTTAGGTAAATCAAGCCACCTCGTTCCTCATTATTGCTTTCTGTGTCGGTGGAGTCTTGGCAGCTGTTGCCAGGTGAAGGGTCCCTTTCTGAAGAGATGGATTTGACTTTAGAAAGAAGCAGGAGGTTTTCAACGGCACTGTCCTGAGTGGCATGATTGGATCGGGCATGGTTGTCCCCGAGGGGCTTGTGGAGCTGGTACATTGGGCTGATGACAGGCATAACTTCAGGACCAGAGGGTGGGGTCTGCACCAGGGGGCGCAATGACTCTGCCCCTAAGTAGCTGATGGCATTATTAATAGCCTGGTCCATGACATGGGTCTGCATCATATCGTTCTCCTTCTCATAATTGGTAGTTGCATCATAAGGAACATCAGACACACATTTTTCACCTGCAATACAAAATAGTCAGAACTTAGGCGTAGGTTACAAAAGCTCTCTTGAAAGCTGCATGAAGAAATCAGCACTGTGTCACTGCAGAAGCTAACAAAATCAGAAGCACTTGTGGTATGAGGTAGCTTTCAGTGAGTTTCAGTTATTAAGGGAAAATTTATCTAGAGTTACAAACATTTTATAATTAAATTAAAAATGGGAGCAGTATCAGTATATGGAATTTACTTCAACAATTAACTTGTCATATGCGTTTGACTGCTTGCATCCTGCTTTATCATCATAAGTTGTAATTTAAGGACCATTGTTGGTCCAAAAGCAGGCTATGTATTCAAAAATAAATAACCACATACATTCATGCATAAAATTAATGGCTGTTGTAGTGAGCCACCTAAATTGTCATTTTGTATCAAGTAATCTTAAACTGCAATTAATTTTTATTACAAATTCATAACCATTGGAAATTAAGATTCAAATGTGTGTTTAGGGATACATTTCCTACCCCTTAGACTGGTATTTCAAATTAATTGCAGAAACAGATCCATGATATGACTAGATTATTTGAATTCTGGTGTCTGATTTTGAAATCTTGAAATTAACATCTGAACCACTTTTTTAAACAATTGGTTACATTTTATTTCTGCCATGCAAATCAAATGGTGGCATGGTGCTTTTGTAGTTGGTGCCATTCTAAAGGAATATAAGAATATAAATATGTATGGATGGCATGTGGTCGCCTTTCCCAACTTGGAGCCCTCCAGATGTTTTGGACCACAATCTACTGCATTCCTGACAACTGGTTATGATGATTGGGGATGATGTGAATTGAAGCTTGAAACATCTTGAGAATAGCTTGGGAATGTATAGCTTATATATACAGCTATATAGAGAGATAAACAGAGTGCTGTTGTGGAAGCACCACAGATATGGATTTCAGAATTAACTGTGCAATTCTGCACCAACTCCCCTTCCTCTTTTTGGAATTCCTTTTATTTGCTGGTCTTCCCTCATTTTAAAAAGGGGGAGCTTTGTGAACAGTCTACCAGCCTGGGAGAGACCACTCCAAACCACTGTTCTTTGTGAGGGTTCCATCTATTTTTTCTCCCATGGGAAGATTAATAGGTAGCTCAGCTTCTGCTGAGACAGAACCATGAAGGTCCTCAACTGGGAAACCTGAAGGAGGAAAGTGAAGGATCTCACCACTCACCAGTTGTCTGGCCTCTGCCTGACGTCTCTCTTGCCCACCAAGTCCTGTCTCAGCAGAGACAGGGTGCTAGAAGAGGTTGTGAGGCTGCTAATATAAGGGCCAAACATAGTACACACAAACTCCCTCTACCTACTGATTCATTTCCTGCAATTCTCCACATGCCACTTCCCCTACCATGGGTTTCCAGCTGTGTGTTTTCTTGTGAGGTGTGCCTCCCTGACCACCAATTACCACCCAAAGCTGTCTTTCCTTTTTCTTTTTTCTTTTGTCCTGGGTAATAAGCAGCAGCTTTAGCTGTGCCTATGCTGGTAGTGGTGGGAAGAGATAATTTAAAACTGGAACAGTGGCATGAGGGGAAGGTTATACCTCCCTTACCATTAACTTTAACCTTATAAAATGCAGAATAACCCATCCCAGATCCTCCTCCACCTTGTCTAGTTCTATCTAAATGTGATTAGAGGTGGCATTTCAGGCTTGAGCCTCACTGTCTTTTCTCTAAATTAAGCATGGACTAGAGTAAATTGTAAGGACATGTGGTGATCATCCAAAATACAACTGAGAGACAGAAAAATCACCCAAAAGGCAAGTAGAGTCTGCTTTGTGGGAAAGCAGAACCGAAGCTGGGAGGGTAACACATTCTAGTCTAACCTTGATTCCATTCTGATAAGGAAGAAAGTCTTTTCAAGTTTAATCCGAGTCTCACTAAACTTGTACTGTCATTATGGTATCTTCTTTCACCACTCTCTGAATAACTGACAGGAAATGTTAGTGTTCTAGTCCTCATATGTGGCAGGTTTTCTTACCATAAGTGTAAGGAAGTGAGAGCATGCAATCTGAGTCTGGCCCCATTCCGAGAGCAGCACACAACACTAGCCCAAAAGGATTGTGACAAATTCTCATCCTGATCAAATTTCCTCTATTAGCATATTCATAGATATGGCCTGGCTAGGTTCACACCATGCATCAAACCCTATGGGAGTTCTGACCATGCACTGCAGTTTAAGGTCCTCTATGCCTCTCCCTGCTTCTCTTCTCCACTTCTTGGTGCTCCTGGAGTATCTCAGGGACACTGCAGAGTCACCCAGGCATGTCCTGAGCTATGGCAAGCTCTTTAGTGCTGGCTGCTGCTTTCCCAAAAGCACCTCTTTCCAAAAAAAAAAATAAATACAGGCTTTAATATCTGGAAAGAGAGGACAGCCAAGAACAGCCCCTCCTCCAACCAGAGGATTCTGCCACAAAGGGTGTTTTCCAGACATCCCCTGCCCTTAAAAAAGAATAGTTATGAAAAAAATAGCTAGCCCTTGGCTACAAAGCCCCAGTTTGGCAAGGACCTATGTACATGCCACACTGCAACTTTGAAGCCTGCTGCTCACTATTTTACAGGTTTTTTTTAAGGGGTGTGTGTCTGTATGGAAAGCACCCTTTGTAGCAGCATCCTTGGGGCTTTGGCAGGGTGCCTGCTCCTGTAGTCCTCCCTTTTCCAAATAGGGGTAACACAGAAGCCCAAGGGCTCCCCCAACTGAGCCTGTAAAGTATTTGGGGGAGGGGTCACCCCTTCAGTCTCTCCCCCTTTGAAGCAGGATCCCCAGGTTTTGGGGAGCATTTGGACATCCCACCTCTCCCCTCAATTATGCAATTTATCTTGAATGGAATAACACCTCAGGAAGCAGCTTGCAACTGACGGGGACAGGCCTACCTCTCCACAAGTGTGGGACTCCCCCAACTTGTCTGTAAGTGCAGTGTGGGCACTTCAGGGTGTCTCAGAAAAGTAGTGGTCCGCTAGCCTCTTGGTTAGAGCAGCGAGTCTTTCTGTCACTTTTGCTGAAGGGCTCTCTGTTGCAACTGGATCATGACTTATTTTACTGTCTGGGTTTGGACAACACAATAAGCCATTGTGGGTTCATTAAACTCTGCTGCAAGCCATGTTTATTTGGGATACTTTATAAACCATGCAGAACTTATCCCACTGTGTGGGAAGAGTGCTGGGTTCAGACTACTGAATCTATGGCAGCTTAATGTGTTGTGTGAACCCAGTCACTTTGAATACAGGCTTTCCCCATCACATGGCAAAGAATTCTGGAAGAAAGCATGGCATGTTCTTGTAAAGGGAGATGTTCAAACCTGCAAAAAAGTTAACCAGGAAAGATGTTGATTTACTCATTTTTTACATCCATCTGAGGAAGCTCCGATAAGGGTACCAATACTACAGAAGTGAGTTAGACAGCTGTTGAGACTAGATTCTTCTCAGCAGTGATGCCACACCTCTGGAGCTGCATAATTGTGGAGGCTGATCTGGTAACTTCATTCTCTTCTTTTAGGAAATCAAGAAAACACTTTGTGGGTGTGATTCAAATATGAAAATGCATGAATGTGGAATAGGAAATATGTACTGCAACACTACGGCTTGACTATGTTTTTATGATTTATGCTATGCATCTGGATTTGTTGCAAAATGTTTGCAACTAGACTGATGGCATTTTATGTATTTTATATTGTGTTTCATACATTGTAAGCCACTTCAAGGTCACTAATGAGAAGTGCAGTAGAAACTGAATCATGAATTAAATACATAAGGGCACAATCCTATGCCAGTACAGAGAGAATATTCTCTGTCTAATCACATATATAGCTGCACGCTTAGTGAAATATTCTGCAGGATAAACTTACTTATCCAGCCCCTTCTGTGTATCAGGCGCATTCTACCTTACCCCCAGAGGACTTTTAAATTCTTTTTCCAAGTAACTTTACAAAAAAATAGCATACTTATGTAAGAGCACTTAATATGTGCATCTGGCTGCAAAAGCTGAGTTTTCTGCCCATATACTTAAAAGTTGAGTTGTTTTTGTTTAGTTTTGTTTTTCGGAAGGATTGTAGTAAAGTTGAGGCAAATAGAGGAAGCACTGGACCAGTAAAAGTGCTTCAGGGCCAGGTGCTGAAATGGGAAAACCTTCTAGTATGCAATTACTAGGCAGTCTACATCAGACTTCTCAGATGTGTTGCCTTGAGATGTCTGGGACTTCTGACTACTGGCCATGCTGCACAGGGCTGATGGGTGCTGAAGTCTGAAGCATCTAGAGGGAACTAGGGTAAGGGAAGGCTGATTTGGTGAAGAATCTAGGAGTACCAGATGCTACTGTACTGCTGAAAGTAAACAGGTGTGGCTTTGGATCAGTAACTGGTCAGAAGGCCACTGAGAACCTCATGCAGGCCACTCTGAGTTTTCATAAGACAACAAGGGAGATGAGTAGTGGAAAACAGCTGTGTGAACAATGCTAGGACACTATCATATTCTTTCAGATATGTGTGTTCTTAAGTGCCTTATGCTAAGACAAACCAGAAGTCCTCATGCTTTCTCAGATAAAGAATGTAAGTTAAAGGACTGATCCAAAATAGGTCCATATTTCTGATTTGACTGGAGCTAGGAGCAGCCTGGAATCTGAATTTCTTGGTTAAATTTCCTGTTGCAACGGAGAAATACAAACACAGTTGAACAATCCAACCACATAAAGGAGGCAGCAAACATTTATAACTCTTACCAACAAATTTCTGAGGCATAGAGCTCTTACGTTTGGCGACGTTACTTGCTAGTCTGTCCAGCATCAGGGATCGCTCTGACCCCATCTTGCACAGATCTTCAGCCATTTCACCCTGACTAGCTTCCTCTTTCATGACTGAAAAAAAAGTCAAAGGAGGCCAGATGTCTTAGACACACGAACATCCAGATTTTTGCTGAGACACAGTCTACAGACAGGCACTAGTGGCTGACAAGACACAAAAGCAGAAGCAGCTTAGCACAACCAAAGTTGGTGTCTCTAGGACAGTCTTCCCCAACCTGGTGCTCCCCAGAACTCCTAGCTAGTGACCATGTGACTTAGGCTGACAGGAGCTGCAGTCCCAAACATCTGCAGGATACTATGGTTGTTGTAAGACATTGGCATTGTCTGAGCTCATCACTTCCCCATCAATTTCTCCCCCCCCCACCCCCGCTCCAGTGGGTGCCTGCTTGGCCATGATGTGAACAGAATGCTGGATCAGAGAGGGTGTTGGTCTGGTCAAGACGACGTACAGACTGGCTTCAGCTGGGATGGCAGCATTAGCCAGCTCTACCCTCCCAGCCAGTCATGGCATGTTTACAGCAAGTTTTTCCCTTTGAGATAAAAATCCCATAAAATGCTGCACAAAGGGGTCTGATGCAAACTTGCCTTTCTCTGCACAAAATGGCCTAACAGACCTTGCGGCACTGGTGGAGGGTGACTTTTTCAATTGATGACACTGTCTGATAGGGTTTTATTGAGTTGTCATTAAAATCAACAAGCAGATATATAGGACATGTACAGCATTTTAAAGGGGAAGAAACCCTTTTGACATGCTCAGTGTGCTAGTTTGCTCACTAAGAAACATCATGCATGTTACACCTTTGTGGCCAAAAGGAACAGCTTCCATGTGAAAGGACTCCAGTGTGACAGCTGCCCAGGGGTGGGGAAAAAAGTAGATCTCCAGATGTTTTGGTCTTCCACTCTCAGATGTTGAAGTCAGGAATCACAGGCACTGAAGTCTAAACAATCTGAAGATCTACTTTCGCCTCACTCCTGATCTAGACAAAACTGAACCTCAATGCCTCTTACTGAGAAAATAAGCCGCAACAAATGGAGCAAGTTCACACACCGATAGAGGATACATCCCATTTTCCCAGACCCAAAGAACAGATAAATCCAAGCTTTTAAAGCTCTGAGAATTCTTCCTTCTGACTGCATCTGTGTGTGGAGAGGTTGAATTTTTATTTTAAAAATCACTGTTTTCCCTAAACTGAAAGAACTAACAAGACAAAAGGATAAATGAGAATTCCATAATAAAACATAAACTACTGAACTTGCTCCTTACACAGAACAGTATGTCTTAGAAAATGTTTGAACATTCCTGAACATGCAATCATGTTTGGAAAAAAGCGTTTTTAAAATGTGTACTTTGTTTAAAACAATCATGCTTTAGTCATTGTCCAAAAAGTGTAGGGTTTTGAAATGCAGTCCTTTTCTGTGCAAATGATCCAAAAATCATGTCACAAATGTAAACACAGGGGTGAGCCAAATGCAGCTTTGAATTAAATTCGAAGATTTGGGGTGTGATTTAACATCCCCAGTTCTTTTGTCCCTAATTAAGTTGAGTCAGTGTCCATCAAAACTTCCCGGTAGAACCTATTTTCACTGGGAAGAGGAAGAGCACTTCTCAAGCTTGGTAAAACATACTATTTTTCATCAGGTTAGTCTAGCTGCTCAGTTAAGCAATACAGGATAAGACAGCCACATCCTCAAACTCAGCCAGGCTCATATCAGGACTAGTGTGTGGTTCGGCATCAAGTATATAGGAGGAGAGGCTGAGTAACTAAACAATCCTTTCTCTCTTTGACATATTGCCAGGTAATAACTCCTAATTGTATGGTCCTAAGGAATAACAGATGCTTTCTCCCTGCCCTATGAGGTGACACAGTGTTTATCTTTTACAGAAAAGAAGAAGGAACAGGCAGCCAAAAGACGGTCAGGATTCTAAGAAAGCAGACCCACTCCATGGTAAGGATTTGACTGGCTACTCTCCAAACTCGGCTCATTCCAAGGCTCCCCTGTGTGGCGGCTGGTGTAAATTTGAATTATGCCAAATTGGAAAACCACCATGAAGGGACACATTCATTCATTTGGAAAACCAACCTGAAGGGACACATGCTCTCATTCCCCCTTTGACTGTGGCAGCGGAATCTGACCACCAGCCTGTTATGGTATCAGTCTGGTCCTATAAGTTGCCAGTTCAATGCATCAAGTCAAAAGATCTGGTGATTGGACCAGCCCGTCAGAGAAACAGAAACCCTCCCTCGCTTGGAGCTCTCCAGGTGTTTTGGGCTACAATTCCCATGATTTCTTACCACTGGTCATGCCAGCCAATGTGATTTGAAGTCCTAAACATCTGGAAGGCATCAGTCTGGGGAAGGCTGCTTGAGCAAGATCATTCTACTTGCACAAAGTCATGTTCACAAAGTGCATATTTGCTTCCACATACAGCTCTCTTCTTGTGCTATGTGATTAACTAGCTGGTGCTGTGCACATAACATTGCATGCCCATCTCCCACACCACCGCCACTGCCAGCGCCCTCAGATTTCCTGGTTCTGTTCTGCAATCTAGTGTCCTTCAAGAGGAAAAAGGGGTGGCATTTCACACTCCAGCCAGTATAAATCCCACTGACTTCCCTTCTAACTTCTGTAGCCCTAGACCAGGGGTCGGCAACCTGCGGCTCCAGAGCCACAGGTGGCTCTTGAACCCCTCTGCTGCGGCTCCGTCACTCAAAACACGCACCGCCACAGCCGCTGATCTGCTCGAAGCTCCACGCGCTAGCTAGTAAAGTAAATCAGCGAGTTAAGTAAATCGCTACATTCCTCTGCTAAACAAGCTTCCTGCAGGCTCTCATGTTACATGAAACAAAAGCTGCTGAAAAGATTCTCTTTGTCCCAATGCAATCTCCTTCATCTGAATGTTAAAAGCTGTGCTTGGGACCTGTCACAATTCATATCACTGAACAGTTTATCTGCTAATCAGTCACTAAACACACCTATATCTGCGACCAGTGCCGATTTACTGAGCTCCCCCCGCTCCAACCATGGATAAATCCAAAGAAAAGAAAAGTTTCTGAAGAAAACTGAACATTTAATGGTACGTGGGTAGATTCATTTGCTTTTACTGCTGACGAACTTATGGGGTTTGCTGTTTAATGCATGCAGCCCTTTAGCACTGACTTTGACTCTGCAGAAAGCTGTTCTCCTATTCAAAATATATGAAAGGAATCCTACTAGTTTATAATGTAAGATTAAAAATAACAGTTTTTAGTGACTGAACAAGAGCTGCAGCTAAATCATAATGAAGATATAGATCTATTTCGTTTTAAGAAGATTCTTATAAAAATTCCAGCAACATTATTACATTGGGAGAGGGATGTTTGTTCAATATTTCACCACGTGATAAAAGGATGAGGGCACACAGAAGCAGATGGCATGTTTGGCTTGCTGCTAGTGGATAATATAAGTTCGGCTTTTTATTTCATAAATACAAGGAGGACTCAGATAGACATTGAGTATTTTATTTGAAAGTAACTTTCAACCCAGCGTCTTTTCTTTCGGAGTTCAATATGTTTTTGTTGCATGCAGAAATAAAAATTTGTTTTCTCTGTAGCAGTTCATTGATTTCATAAATGCAACACACTATAGTTTTTTTATACATAGCATAAAGGAAAAAAACTATATATGCAGTGTTATCTTCATTTTAGATGTCAAAAGGGTTTTGCGGCTCCCGGTGTTTTCTTTTCTGTGGGAAATGGGTCCAAATGGCTCTTTGAATGTTAAAGGTTGTCGACCCCTGCCCTAGACCATGTTACTGGTCACCCATCGAATCATGGTGGGGATCAGCACGAGGGGAGCTTGTATGGAAGAGCCCCAGTGTATTTTTTTTTTTGGTCTTTACTCCAGAACACTGTTAATACCCCTGAATATAACAGATATTTTCACCAGGTGTCCATGCAAAAATACTGAGAAGTTTTGTTGCTTTTCTTACAGTTTTTAGAACGAAGATTGGAGCAAACAGTAATTAAAATGAAGAGAGGTGGAGAGAAAGGAAGTCGATATGGAAGGCATAGTGTCTTTTCAGGTTATTTTTCCAGAAAACTTTTGGAAAACTTCAGCCAAACTGAAGCAATGGCATAATCCTATACATGTTTACTTGGAAGGAAATCCCACTGTGTTCAATAGGACTTACTTCCAGATAAATGAGCATAGAATTGCAAAATTAATTACTTTTTTCATTTGGAAGGATGCTCATTTAATACACATCTGCATTATAAACTGTCTAAAAATATTTTATTCAAGATTTAACTGTCATGGCTTTGTACAAATTGTCATTTGGTAAGAAAGGAAGAATTGTTTTTTATATTGTTCTCTCCTTACATCTGGCCTAGGGAGAATGACCACTAGATCAGTACCAGTCTCTTATCTATGTACATAAAGTAATTTTTATTCTACCCTGACTTCATAACTTACAAAGAGAATAGAACAATTATAATGTAAGCAGAAAATAATAAAATAACCACAAAATCCTAACTGTAGCAGAAAAAAAGTTGACCAGATTAAAACTGTATCTGAAAAATTCTGGACAATAAAAAGATCTGTTAAAAGTACAATAAGCTAAGTGCCAGGTGAACCCCTGCTCTAGTGTTGTTATTTGTTAATGAACCAATTTGTTGATCTTTTAGATCGGAGTCCTGGAACTTCCTGCATTCCCCAGACAGGATACACGACTTTCCATACATATGATTGTGCCTTAAATCTGTTACATGTAAGTTCACTATCAGTGCTTCTAGTTGAAGCTTTTCTTGTGCAATTACCCTGCCTTGTTCCCAGGATTTTACAGGGCAGAGGGACTGAGACAAAGGTTTTCTTCCATATAACATTATTGTTCTTCAACTCCCTTGTCTGTTTTCTTACCACATACTCCTGTGGCCTTGTCGTGGATAGCCCTCAGCAACCCCAATTGCATACAGATGCAGACGCTGATGCTGATGATTATCACTATTTTACTGTAAAAGCTTCCTAAAATCCAAAGTGTGTCCTGTCCTGTGCCATCAGCAAACATTTACTAGTGA